AGACATCTTTTTATTTATGTCAGTTGTTGTCGTGCAATGCAGGCAGTAAGATGCATGCAGCCATGTGAAAGTCTTTAAGCATTGTGCCTTTGTCCTGTGCATGATTGCAAGAAAGGTGCATGTATTCATGTATGTATTTTGTAGCATGTAGGCATGTGTGTTGATTTTTTCTTCAATACATACAGGATTTGTAACTATCAGTGACTCATGGGAAGCATGAGTGTCAAAGTTGGGCTAAATTATGTACTGTAAGCCTGCACATGCAATACATGCCTGATCCAGCCACCCACATATTATACATGCACATGGCTGCACTTTGCATAGGCACTGCTGAATGTGTATGTTGTGGACACTTGGAATGTGGGTGGAATGATTGGAATGCTTCTTGTTTCCATTGGTCAGTACAGTCAGCATGAATGCATGAGTGGTCATAGGTGAGTAGGCATGTGACCCAGTGATGAGCATGTTTGTTGGGATGACACCACGTTTCATCTTGCCCATCACAGCCCAGTGAGCCAGCATTCTGAGGACTAATACAGAGGGCATTAGAGAAAAAACACCAGAAGTAACGTCCTCTACCTCTTTCCACCTACCTCCTACCTCGGCCTTGGCCCATGCTTACGCTTGTGGGTGGTGTGCTCAGTGGGTGATGCTACAAAGTAAAGATTCACATAGAGCCCTCACATCTCTAGGCAGTCATATTGATTATATATTTTAGAAAATACCGTCACCAGGCGCAAGCCATTTCCATTGTACGGCCACCTTTTCAAACTGGTAGATGGCGCCGAAAAAGTCGAAAAGGCGGCCAGAATGACAAGGGGTTAGAGGGCCATACAGGGGAGGCTAATGATGGAGCAAAGGGATGCTGAGCGCCCATGTGGGCGCAGCCCAGTGTATGGAGTACGAATTACCCGGGCTATCGCCCATCGTGAAACATTGGGTTTCGTTCGTCTTAAATGTGTCGCAATTGTCGACTTGTGTTTCTCGTAATCAGTTGGCCTGGGGCTTCAGCGGGATTCAGGGCTGTGGGCCCCGAGAACGCATTTGGCTTCTAATTGAACGTAATGTGGTACTGCGGTGTTGGGTTACAGTTTTCATGTCACAATATGAGAGAATATTTAGTGGTGTGTGACCCTAAATGTCAACTTCATTGCTGAAATAGTAATGAGGCGTTGCTGGTATTGAAGATAACCTGCCAGGCACAAACGTGCAGCACATATTCTTTAAGCCCAATTTTACTCTGCTTTTGCACGTCTGAGAGAGGAGCAGCTTTTCAACATACACATCAATGGACAACACCAGTGAGACGCCGTCCTTTGTCGACCTGGCCCAATGAGGAGCCTGGTAAGATATCTGACACGGGCATAACCAGGTATGGTAGGTAGGATGTGAATAGGTGTGGAAATTCGACTCTGAAATGCTCAGAGCCTGAGCATTACAATGCCGTTAGTACTTTGAAATGTTCCACGTTTGGGCATCTTGCGGTGTGTTGGTTTGGGTATGCTACTGAGACTGCGGCCCAGCACGCGTTCATATTGGGTGTCGGGTGGTTCACTGCAACAGGCTTAGCACCCCGATGCATTAAAACTCTATCCGCTTTACTGAATGATTGAGACGAGATATAAGTATGACGGATGAAGTGATCCCTTAGATATCGTCGCATATCGCATACCGTCGCATCACATATCGCATACCGTCGCATCACATATCGCATACCGTCGCACCACATATCGCATACCGTCCTCGCCTGGTGTTTGCATGTGTATTGTATTTCCCGATTGGCTCAGTGATAGAGCGCTGGACTTGCAATCAGAAGGTGCCGGTTCGAATCGCGGCTATCCAAGCAGAAAACTCGAACTAAAACGCGTGCATGACTGAGAGTCGTGACGCGTACATGATCGTTTAGTCCTTCTCAGGACTCATGGCGGCGGCGGAGGACCGAGTCGGCCAGAACGTTGTGAAGGTGATAACACGTCCTGCGAGTACGGTTGTCCAGAGTGTTCCGTCGGTGGCTCGGTAGCCGCGGTGTGGGGCGCAACCTTGGGTGGTGTTGGGGCACGTCGCGTTATTGTCACTGCTGGGCGTGACGGGATAATAGGGCCCGGTGCTTCCATTAGCGCCATTATGTTTTGTCAACATTCAGGCGCTGGTAAACACTCCAGCCGTGTTCATGTGAGGCTGTCGGCGAGCATCCGGCCACAGTTGCACGCCCGGGAAGGGGCAATCGCCACTCATGGTGGCAAACTGAATTCCTGTGGAGGATGGGCTCTGTCCCTTTGGCGACGCCCCTGACTACAATTGCACGCTTATGAATCGTGTAGTTCCGACGCTGGTTGGTAAACTAAAGGCGGTGATAACACTCGCTGAATGAACTGTGCGATTTGTAAGGCGGATGGCGCATCCTGATCTTGTTGAGTGATGTGTGTGCTTGGTTTTTGTGCCGGCTTTGGCATATGAACTCAAAGTGGGCAAATGCACCAGTAGGCGACCGTATCTGCGGCGGTTACCCTCTCGTGACTTTGCGGTAGGATTGCTGCTGGGAGATGGTTGGGGAGGCCCGGGGAGGTAGGGGATCATGCACCTTCTTGCAGTTGCAGCGGGCCGGTCGACAGAACTCTAGAACCGATCCGCGGGTATTGGCTGCTCGCTCCCACCGTCGCACAGGATGTCCGTATGACGCCGATTACCGCGGGTAAATGGTTTTGATCGAAATCGGCGTCCAAACAGTTTTGTGTATTGTCCGCATGGGACAGCAAAGTGGCGCAGTACTGCATCGGTTCCGATGACTGACTGATTTGATTGAAGGTGATAGTGGGTCGATAAGTGACATCATTGGGGACCCTTAACTTGGGTGACGCCGTCGCCGCCTCGCTCCGCGGCGGCGGCTGCGGCGGTCAAGGCTCCGTGACGTCACGCGTGGTGTTGGACACGGAAGTGGCGGCGTCCTCCAAGGTCCCGAAGGTGCGCGCGGCTGGCCGCCACGTGCCCGGACGAACCGCGCCGTCAGCACTGCTGGTGAGCGGGCCGCCGGCCGGCGGGCAGGGAGGCGGCCACGGGACAGCTGCCGGGGAGAGATGACCGCAGAGGATGCTCTAGCATGGCCGGGGGAAGCCCCTGGGTTTGCTGGTGGCCTCGGCCAGTGGCATGATCGGTGGAAGAGTCGAGAAGTGGCCGTGCGGTGATAGATGGGTCGGCTCTGACCTTTGGCAGCAGTTGGTAGCTTGCCCCTCAGGCTGCGTGTGGAGAAATCGGACTGTGCATTCTCTGCCGTCACCCGTGCCGTCCCCCCGTCCTCGTCCCTTTTACGCTCGGTGCCAAATCTGTTTCCGGGGTGCGCCGGCGCGGTCTGCTGCCGCGCCTGGGTTCGCAGCGTAGCACCGATCCCACTGCTGGCTTTGCCTCCGCTGGCTTATTATTCGACCTGTTGTGCTGGCGAACTGTGGGCAGTTGTGAGTGGTAGCTGAAATGTGGGCTATCAGCTCGCTGTCGCCGGCCGTTGTTTTCAGATATCACCTTGATCCCCGCCGGCAGGCAGGCCTGCCGACCGGCCGTGTCGGCTTTACAGATAGCATCCGGCGGCTCTGACTGTGCCGCCTTCCGCGGTGGTGTAGACGTTAGGTGGCTGATGCGAAACATTATTTAATTCCCAAGCGCCTGACGTCGGCCGCGTTCCGGCATTGGCAAACGATCCCCGCGGCTGAATCCTCCGCCGGCGTAAATGCCCTCCTCCCAGGCCGGCCCAGGAGCAGCTTTGACGCTAATGTGCCGCTTGTCAACGTGCAGCCATAAATTATGCGGTGATTATTGCGGCGGTCAGACTTGCACGCCGTTTGTTCGGAGCCAGCTGCTGCCGTTGGCACACGCGGGGACGTCTGCTTTGATCCTGTAGAACGGCTGCTTTGTTACCTGTGGCGTTACGCTGCCTGACGCTGTTGTTTCGCGTGACGCCTGGCTCTTGCTGCTTTCCTTGCCAGTTTCGCCGCAGAAGAAGGTTGCTGAAGTGCGCCGTCTTTTGACGAATAGATATATCGTTCTATGTCGTTGTGGTCGCCTTGGCGTTTTGGTTTCAGTAATGTTTTTCTGATTTCCGACGGCGGGCTGTGGCGCCCTTTCGTCGGCAGACGCAGAGACTGCATGTATCGGCCTTGGCAGACTGAGCAGCATGCGCGCACCTGATGTCGCAGTGCGACGACAAACGCAATGGGCCAATCCCAGATTATTCGCGCAGCCGTCGGGTTTCCGCGGACCGCGCGTTCTGCCGTGACGCAGTGTCCTGCGGCCGCGTCTCGGCGGCTGGGCGACATGCGGCCGCGCTGTTTGAACGGCATCTGTCCACATTGGACGAGGCAGGAAGCGTGAGGATACGGTGGCGTGCGTGGCACACGGCTGTGTGCATTCGCTATCTGCGTGAGTGTCTGTCTGAGTGCCAGACGCTGTGGGCAGCTCCGGGCCGCCACTTCACACACAGTCCGGTACAAGGGAGCGCTGTGCCGGCCAGCGCGGTGGCTGCGCGGCCGCTGACCAGCGGCAGTGCGTGCGCCGGCGCTGGTGGGCGGCACCGCAGAGGGGCGGGTCAACAGGTTCGCGACACAGTGAGACCGTTCTTGTGATCCGCTCCTCTGCACGCGGCTCCACGGACGGTGCGCGCGCCCTTTTGACCACGTAAAATGACGTCAAGAGCAGAAGCCCGCTACGACAGCCTCCCTCCTACCGACTGCGTGTGTTATGTCGGGTCCGGTCTTCCATACCGGCGGGCAGCTGAGCAGGACACCAAACGCGTATGGACACCGACCAGCCGAAGAACCACGGTCTCTGTGTCGGTCGCTCGTGCGCCGCCCCAGCGGCCGAGCGGGACTCGTGTTCAACGGTGGCGACGGGGTCCGCCCCCGCACCCGCGCCCGCGGCATCAGCTGTCTGGCTTCCCTCGGCTGGCGTCGCGCGGCGGCCCCGTGACGTCACATACCCGTCGGTTCCGTTTTTGAGTCACCCGCCGCCGCTGGGCGCGGGCGCGACTGCCGGGGAGGGGCCGGGCGCGGCGGTGTGTCTGCCGGCGCTGGCGTGTCGGCGCCGCGCCAGGGCGGGGCGGGACCGTGCCGCTCCGCGCAGCCCCCGGGCGGCCCGGCCCGGACCGGAGTCGCCGTCTCGTGCCGGCCCGTCGCACGCCCTCCGTCCGCCCGACCCGCGCCGTCGCCGTGCAGTGTGTCCGTGTGCGTGCGTGCACGGCCAGGCGGTCGTGACCGGTGGGGGGGGGGGGGGGGGGGGCGCCCGGCGCCCTCCGGGGCGGCGCGCGCCGCCGGCGCCGTCCGCGTCAGCGACGGCACAGTCCTCTCGCAGTGTACGTTGGCGGGCGGGAGACCCGAGCGGTCCGTCCCAGCTGGCGGGCGGCTGAACTCGGTATGTGTATGGTCCGGAACCTGTCTGTTTGAGGGCGGGAGTCCGACCGCTGCAGTGTCACCTCTCCACCTTAGCCCGCCCACGGCAGGCCCTTTCCCTACGTGCATTTGTGTTCTAGCCTTGGTGCCGACATGTTACCCTCCAGTGCGGCATACTGCAGCGGTCAGTGCTGTGCTGTGGTCTGTGACCTTTAGCGCTCGGGGCCCGGTGTGGCGCGCCCGGACGCTGTCCCATGTGTGTCGTGACCGGTGGTCCGCTGCCTCCGCGTGGTCCGCGCGCCCCCGGGCGACTGCCGCCGACTCGTGGAGCCGGTGTTGACCATGCCCTAGCCAGCGCGTCCAGTCTGCCCCCGCTGACGCCCGGCGGGGGTCGGGGCGGACGGTGTCGCAGCCGGCTGACCAGCGGCGTCTCGTTCCAGCGCCGGTGCCGCGTCGAGTCGAAGGATGTCCGCCGCGCTGCCGGGGCCACTCTGTGGGCGCCGCTGATCGAGCCGTCCGGCGCGCGCGTCCCCCGCTCCACGGCGACGGTGAGTCAGCCGCTGCCCGACGGCCAGCGAGTGGCACGAGCCGCCCGACGACCGGCGCCCCTGCGCCCGCGGGGCGCGCCACCGGCTGGTGACGTCACTGCTGCGAACGCATTGAAGGATGTGGTGTGGTTGGGCCTCGCAGCTGTGATGGGTTCGTTCAGGGTGGTTAACGACGCTGGAAAATGGCCGACTTACAATACTGCCAGACCAAAGATTATGGAGCCCTCCGTGGGTTAAGATCACGGCCAGTAAAGCTCGGAGTGCCGATGATCGATGGATGAATTATGTGTGGAACTGCCCCGCTCCCAGGCACCCTCGCCTCCTGGCAGTTGACGCAGTGCAATACACGTTTCGGTCGTTTCGAATGCGCAAAGGGTGTCTTAGGCTGTTTTGTTTTGTGACTATCAATGATACGTCAGTTGTCCGACGTAATGGATAATGCGTGGAGGCTAAGCTTGATAAACTCCACGCTTTGAACCGGTTCGGCTTTTAGCTTAATCTTGCGTCGACGCCCGGACTTTTCTGGGAAAGCGAATGACAACTTCCTCTTCAGATAATGTCAACTTTTCGTGTCCGAAACAGACAGCAAGGACGCCGTTGTTTCAGTCGCCCGTTTTGCCTATTGTCCCGTGGCAGTGACGACTGCAGGACTGCAGTTCTCAGCTATAGGCAACAACTTCCTGAAGAACCCGTTCCTGCCCTCCCACCGAAAACGGTGCATGTTGCACATGGAACGGTACTTCGGATTTTGACACGCTTGAGACGAACGGGCGAGGCACACCCCGCCGCTCTGGACGGGACGATCCGGAAGTGCCAGCTTCTGACATGAGCAAGAAGCTTGCCACTCGGGTGTATGGTTCGCGCGACGCGCGTGAGAGCTTGTGTACCGGGCACGGGGGGCACTCGTCGTTTGCTTTGTAATCTGCTGAGTTCGATCGGTTTGAATGCAGCGCCACCAGGGCCCGATCGCCGCTGCCGGGCACTGGCGCTGCCGTGAGGTGCGCCGCTCGACCGCTACCGGCGTCAGCTGCGCCAAATATGTATCAACCTCCACCGTATGCGGAGCATTACGCAAGGCGCGGCCGACGGACGCCGTTGCACTGAAGGCCGGCCAGCGGGCCGTAAACACAGGCGGCTGCGCCGTCGGCCTGGCCGGCGCTCAGTGCAGCGGCAGCCGGCGACGGCGGCTGCCGGCTCAGTCCTCCCCGTGCTCCTGAGAGGGAGGCACTGACGGCGGCGACAGCGCTGCGACCATGGCGATGGAGGCGGAATACGCGCACGGCAGGTAGGTGGGGCGCGCTGCGCTAACCCCGGCTCAGGTCACCGCTCGGCCCCCTGCCCGCGGGGCCGAGCCGACGGGGGCAGCGCCCGCCGGTCAGCGCCCGTGGCCTTGGGCCGGTCAGGTGCATGTATGAGACGCGGACGTATGGCCGGACCGGCCGTGTCCGCCGCGCGCCGGCCGGACACCGACGGACGGGTGTCGCGGCGGCGTCCAGGGCAGCCCGCACTGGCGACCAACGGCGCCGCCCACCGACTCTGTATCTGTGGACGATCTGGGTCGAAGAGCAGCCAGTCGGCGGACTCGGCCAAAGCGGCGGCCGGAGTGGATCGGACGCCACAGCTGTGTCCGCGCCGGTCGGCCGGAGTGGATCTGACGTCACAGCTGTGTCCGCACTGGCTGGCCGGAGTGGATCTGACGTCACAGCTGTGTCCATACCGGCCGGAGTGGATCTGACGTCACAGATCAGTGCGCGCCGGCCGGAGTGGATCGGACGCCACAGCTATGTCCTCGCCGGCCGGCCGGAGTAGATGTGACGTCACAGCTGTGTCCATGCTAGCCGGAGTGGATCGGACGCCGCAGATGTGTCCGCGCCGGATTGTCGGAGTGGCGGGGCCGCGTCCGAAGGGCCGCGCGTCGGACGCGGCCGCGGGGGACAGCCGCTGTCTCCCGGAATGGCTGCACGTGGCCCGCCGGTGCAGCCAAGTGAAATACGCCCGATTGGACGGCCGGGACCTGAACGGAGCCGGCTTCGCGGGCATCGCGTCAGCGGCCGGGCAGCCACTCAAGCGAGCGGGGCGTGTGCCGGTCGGCCGAATGGGCGCCGCACGAGCGTGCCCGGGAAGCCAACTTACTCCGCGGCGCCGCGCGAAGCTGGCGGGTATTGGGTCCTGATTTGCCGCGAGATTGCGAGCGCTTTAGTGCGGCCTCGGTTTGCCGGAAATCTAGCCGAGCCGGCCTCTGAGTACCGAGTTTGTTGGTTTATCGTTGCTTGATTAGTTGAGCTGTTCTACTGCAGCGGACCCACTTCTGAGCAGCGCCCAGAGCGATGGCGCTGGAGATTTGCATCGCCGACACCTGGCTATCGATATCCAAAGCAGTGCATCGACAGGCTAAAAGCAGGGCTGTGAGTCTCGCCCCACACTGGTTAGTTAGTGAGTTATTAAATTTTAATGGCGCCAAGTCGCGCATCCAGCGCGCACCCCACGTGATGGCTGGCGGTGGGCGGGTCCTCCGCTGTGGGGCCGGTCCGACCGGGCCGGCCGCGTGGAGGAGCCGCAGACGTCTGCGGCACCCGCCCGTCTCGGGCCGGGCCGATGTTTGTTTACTTTCGCGTGTGTGACGGCGCCGTCGGCCGGCGGCGCGCCGCGGCCGGCGACGCCGACGCCCGGGCTCGACCGCCCTCCGCCGGCCTCCGACACCGGCCGGCGGCGTCGCCAGAGCCGGCGCTCTGCACGGCGCGTCCGCGGACCGGTGGGCCCTCTGCGCCGGTCGGCCGGCGGCCGCCAGCTGACCGGCCGGCCGGCGGAGCGGGCGCGTGCGGCCGGCCGGCCGCCGCCGCCGCCGCCGCCGGTCGACACGCTGACCTTGCAGCCGTGCAGCGGTCAGCGCCCCGCGGCCGCGCGCGCGACGCGCCACTTTCGCGGCGCCGGCGCGGTATCGACTTTCTGCGCGGCCGACCTTGGCCGTGGAGTGCGGGCAGCGGGCGGGCTGGCCGCGCGGCCGCAGCCGCTGCCGGCGACCCAGCTGCGGAGACAGCACGTGGGGAGCACGGCCGGTGCTGGACGGCGGTGCGGTGGCCGGCTCGGCCGGTGCGTGGCACGGTGCCCCGGCCAGTGATGGCCGCCCCAGCCGGCCCCGTTGGGTCGCTGGGACGGGTGGGGCGGTGGCAGTAACGCCAGCCGCGTGCGTAGAGCGGCCGCAGAGGGGTGCGGTCCACGTTTCCTGGAGGCGCTTCCGTGGGGCTTGTCGCCGTCCTGGCCGGGTGTTCGGATCCGGGAAATATCCTGTTTGTCGTCGCCCTCGTGTCTGGGCCGTCGGAAGCTGGCTGTGTCGTGTGCGTTATGCGGAATGTGTGCTCCGGAGTTGGAGTTTGCACTGTTTAAAGTTGTTGAAAGCCCCTGATTTGATTTGAGGTTGGATCATCCGTTGGATTTGATTTTGCTGAGGGGGGGGGGGGGGGGGATAGCGCTCTTATGTTCTGTACGGTGACTGCAGGGACATATTGCTTTATCTGGTCAGCATATCTTTCCCCAGTATTCGATCTGCTATCGACCATATTGGTTATAGCCCGGTCGTGGTTGGAACAAAATGGCCCTTATGCGACTTCCTCAGCAAAAAGCTGCCCACGGGGCACGGAGCCGGGAAATTTGCAACGTCTTACGCTACCTCACGTCCCACCGCGAGTGTGGTATACTGCCGTCCTGCTTGAGCACCTCTCCAGGCGTCACCTCGCGTGCACACCTGCCGATTTTGCCCGGCAAAAACCGTGCAAAATTGTGTCCCGCCCGTCTGCGCCGTGACATTGCCGGCAATAATTGGCGCCATGCGCCAGACTGCCCTGATGGAAGTTCATGAGGCCGTCACATGGGCGCCGCGGTTGTTTGCCGGTGCCCTCCATGGTCCGCGCCGCTGTCGGTCGCCGGCGGTGCCGCTGAAATGTCAGACCTGCCGGCGCCGAGCCGCCGACAGGCACGACAGGTGTGCCGGCGCGCTCTCCCAGCTCGTCGACCTGCGTCGAGAGCTCGGCGGCCCGTGGCCGCGGCTGGCGGCCGCACTGGGGCCGTCCGGCGGCGAGTCTGCCCGGTCTGAGATGCGGCCGTCGTACCGCTGTGCTCGGACGGAGGACCCGGGACCTGGACCGAGGATCGGACGAAGCACCTGGACCGAGTCGGGGACCTGGACCGAGGATCGGACGGAGCACCTGGACCGAATCTGGGACCTGGGCCGAGGATCGGACGGAGCACCTGGACCGAGTCGGGGACCTGGACCGAGGATCGGACGGAGCGCCTGGACCGAGGATCGGACGGAACACCTGGACCGACTCGGGGACCTGGACCGAAGATCGGACGGAGCACTTGGACCGAGTCGGGGACCTGGGCCGAGGATCGGACGGAGCACCTGGACCGAGTTGTAGACCTGGACCGAGGATCGAACGGAGCACCTGGACCGAGTCGTGGACCTGGACCGAGGATCGGACGGAAAGCACCTGGACCGAGTCGGTGGCCGCGCGCGTCAGACACCTGGCGATCGTCGCTTGTGGCGCCTCTGCGAGTTAAGCAGTCTTCGTTTTGTATGTCGCGCTTTTTCGTGAGATAAATGAAGCCAGCCTTGTCGGCGTATCAACGTGGACGTCTGTATGAACGGGGCCTGACGACACGTCAGGACCCATCCCAGAGGAGCCGTCGGCGATCAAACATTGGACGTCTGTATCGACGGCGAGCCTGCCGACACGGTCAGGACCTATCCAGAGGAGCCCGTCGGCGAATCAACATGGACGTCTGTACCGACGGGGCCTGACGACACGTCAGGACCTATCCAGGAGGAAGCCGTCGGCGATCACATGGACGTCTGTATCGACGGGCCTACGACACGTCCAGGGCCTATCCAGCGGAGCCGTCGGCGATCAACATGGACGTCTGTATGGACGGGGCCTGACGACACGTCAGGACCTATCCAGAGGAGCCGTCGGCGCGGTCTGCAGTAGCGTCCGCCCAAGCACCGACCCAGGCGCTGAGCACCGAAGCTTGAGAGGGACCGTTACCGCCTCGCTGGTCGTTGGACACCGGTGCGCCGTCCATAGTCGGGACACTGCCGTCCGGATAACTGGAGCCAGAGCACGGGACCGTGCAGGCGGCCGGAGTCAGAACACACGACAGAGTACACGGCCAGAGCCAGAACACACGGCAAAGTACACGGCCAAAGCCAGAGCACACGGCCTCTCCCTTACCAGCTGTCCGTCCCTGTATCTCGGTTGGTTAGGGCGCCTGCCTTCGGCTCCAGTCACCCGTGGTGGGGTAGGTTCGAGTCGCTTTGAGCGCTCGATATCCGTCCCTGACAGGGATGCCTGCGGCCGGTGACAGCGGGCGCGTCTGAAGGTTAAGTGACGTCAGAGGGCAGGATGAACCGTGCGGAGCAATGTGGCACGGTAAGCTTTCACCACAAAATCTGCCGATGACCGGAATTTTGCGATCAGGCTGTGGCGGCAGGACTCACGCAACAAGCAATACTCTGCATGGGCTCTGATCTAAAAAATTCATTGAGTTAAAGGTTCTGTCCAAATCTAAAAAATCAGCTATAGCGCCTGTCGTCCACTCGACCGCAGGCAAAACGCACGCCTTTCCATGCAGTGGGACCCAGAGCACACCACTGGGCGCCTGATCACCGTCATCTCACCCCGGTTCATACGACCAGGGCCGGAGCACACGAGCGTCATCGCGGCCAGAGCGCGAGCCGGCCGCCGCCGGCCTTTCCTCGCGCGGCCGCCGGGCCGGAGGTGTGTGTGGGCACAGGTGCGCGGGTGCGTCGGATTCGACACACCGACGCCGCGCCCCGGCGGACCGCACCTGGGGCGGCGCCGGGTTGGCCGCACGGCGGTGCGAGCGAGCGCACAGCGCCGGCGCGCCTCGGCGAGGACGCCGCCGCACTCGCCGCCGCCGCGGCCTGCAGGCTGGTTCACAGTTAGGCCAGCCGAGCCCGGCGTCCGTTTCCGTAATGAGTGCGTCAGCTCGCCTGTCCTTGGCCGCCGCCGCCGCCGCCGCCGCCGGGGGCGCTCCGACTGCGGTCGGCTCGGCTGGGCCGCTCTCGGACCACGCCGGGGAGCCGAGGCATGCAGCCGTGTGGCCATGTGACCCGGAGCGCCCCGGGGCGCGGCGTCCGGGCCGGCCGCGAGCCGTCCGTCGGCGGCCGCAGGACTGATAGCCGGCGCCGGCACCGCCAAGGCCACTGGCAGCGGCCGGGCCGGACCCTGTTGTGGGCCGCTGACCCCGTGTCCTCGCAGGCCGCGCCGGCTTGACAGGACAGCCCCGCTCCCGCAGCCGCAGCTCTCGCACCCGGCCGCGCCGGCAGCAGACGCTCGCCTCTGCCCGGCCTCCGGCGCTCGCGGACATGTCCAGCCGCGGCCCCTCGCGGACACGCCCAGCCGCGGACCCTCGCGGACGTGTCCAGTCGCGGACACGTCCAGCCGCGGACCCTCGCGGACGTGCCCAGTCGCGGACACGTCCAGCCGCGGACCCTCGCGGACGTGCCCAGTCGCGGACATGTCCAGCCGCGGACCCTCGCGGACATGTCCAGCCGCGGACCCTCGCGGACGTGTCCAGCCGCGGACCCTCGCGGACGTGTCCAGCCGCGGACCCTCGCGGACGTGTCCAGCCGCGGACCCTCGCGGACGTGTCCAGCCGCGGACCCTCGCGGACGTGTCCAGCCGCGGACCCTCGCGGACGTGTCCAGCCGCGGACCCCCGCGGACGTGTCCAGCCGCGGACTGTTACTTGTACAGCGGTCCTACTGCGTGCCATCTCGTGGCCTTCCAGCCGCGGACCCTCACGCATCTGTCCAGCCACGGACCCAAACGGCTCCGTGCAGTTACAGGCCCCGATGTATCTGTCCGGTCATAAACAAACACGTGTCCCTCTCCCAGCCACAGGTCCACGCGTTTTTCTCCGGCCCAGACCCAGACGTTTCTGTGTGCTCACAAACCAGACATCTATTTTCAGCAACAAGCCCACGCGCGACTTCCCAGCAACGGATCCTCGCGTCCCATTCCAGTCAGAGGTGCAAGCGTCCCCAATCAACCTTACGAAAAACGCGCGCGCGCCACCGTGCGGCAGACCGGACTGGCGGTGTCCGTGGCAGGGCACTGCGGCCCATTGACTCACCGCGGCCTCGGCACAACCCTTCCGCCACCACCGGCGGCATGTCACCGGCTTCAGGGAAACCAGGCGGCGGCGGCGGCGGCGGCGGCGAGCGCCGTCGGTGGTGGAGTGACCGAAGCGGGACCCAAGGGCGTCACGTCTGTCGCCGACCGCAGCGCACGGGTCGGCGCGAGGTGCCGCGCTGGTCGCGTCGCCCCCCCCCCCCCTCCCCTCGCGGGCCGCACTTGAAACACCGGCTCGGCGACGATGAGACCCCGGTGCTGCGGCTGTTACCGTGCGGCTGCCGTGCAGTGCCTGACTTGTGGCTGATAGCCGGTGCACGGAGGGGCCAGTAGCGGTGACGTGGCATGCACCAGGGCTGTTCACGGAGGCGGCTCGGGCCCGCCGCATGTTCGGCTCCGCGCATGGCATTACGGCTGGGATTGATTCGCGGAGGTGTTGGCGTGCTGTGGTCGGGAGTGGTGAGAACTGTAGGCTCGTTGGGAGAGCAACGGCTGGAGATCGGGCAGCGCTGTGAAAAAACGCGTGCAAAGAATGGCATGGTCGTGCAAGTTCATTGGGGTGTTACGGGCCTGCATGTATTTGTATGCTTCTATATTTGACATCACGGAATGCTGCATGATGCTCAAGAGGCAAGACATATTATTTATCAGAATGTGTCCATTGATTTAGCTAAGGGGTCATGGAGCTTAATCCCCCGCCTACCCCCGCCCCCCCCCCCCAACGCAGTTTTTCAGCGCGGTAGTAATGAATATGATTTTACGATCTGGTGAGCAGTGGAATTGTGCCGGCTTTGCACGTCATTAACCCTCACGGACAGTGGCATGTCGAACAGCAGAAACTTGGTGAAAGCCAGTGGAAAGCCGAGTGCATACGTACGGTACGTAGCTGAGACAATTGTTTCCGGCGTCAGGACATTGTCAAGTGGATAGCTTATTGATACTTTAGGTAGTGTGCCTGTTGTCGTTGGTAGCCTCCGTAGTCTGTTCGCAGTGCATAGATGCCGTGGCTGGCGCTATGATTCTTTTTTAATGTTGACCCCGTCGCAAATCCTGATAATCCTCCGCTACCCTGCGCGATTCCTGGCGGTGGCCGAGATGTGGAGATCGCGTGGTGCGCGTGAGAAGCAGGCTTGAAGCGAGTGCGAGCATATTGTCATACGCTGCCGTAAAATGATGGTGCACGGTGGGGACGGGATTTGAGAAGCATCGCTACACACTAGGAATAAAGTACTTGCTACACGAAGCCGGTGCTGGCACGGCGTTAGCACCAGCACAGCTTCAGGGATGCCGGCTTAGAGGCTGTGGTGTGAGGTGGCACCGGCGCCGGCGCCGGCTTTGAATGCATTCAGTTTAGGCCTCCATTTCCTGGTACTAGAAAAATCCTGGCATCTCCGGCGCCGGCCCGATACCGTCGGTGCCGGCTGAATGCCGGCTTCTGGTACAAGGGTACACACCCATCCCCGATGCTTGGGCATTTGTTCATGTTCCTTTTTTTGCCGCGCCGTGAAATCGCATGTCATTCTAAAATTATATGATAGATAATTAAAAAATTAAGACATTTTGGTGCTGTGAGCCCTGCTCGTAGTGTTTCTTTTGTTAGCTCGCCGGTCGTTTTTACCTCCCAGGAGCCTTCTTTAGTTTTTCCGGCTGTAGTTTCTCAGCCGTTGGGATGTGGTCGTGGCACCTGGTGCCCTTTCCTGACCATCCCTTAACACCCGCCGTACAAATTCAAACTCCTAGTTGCAGTCAGTGACGACTGCAGATTGGGTTAAGGGAGGTATTTTTGAGCAGCTCTGTTGTTTTCCGTCGGCCGGTAGTTCATATCAAAGAGGTCTTACACACAATGGAAGAAAGTGTAACAACTGACGTGCTGTGTTTAGGTGATGCATGGTGACTCACATGGGTCACATGGGGATGACAGCAGCGGTCCCTGGGAACAAAAGCCTGTCTTCACTTAGTAAAAGTGACATGTCTCGGTATTATGGTATTGGCCCGATTGCATTATGGATGAGAGTCGTTTGCATCTATGTTTGTAAAGTTTTCCAAAAAATAGTCGAGTTAGGTTGTATTTCTAAGCAGACCGGTGTTGGACCACTGCTGTTAAAGTCTGTATCATTTTTCGCGCCCTGGACATCGTTCCCAGGCATGCTGTTTCGTTGCATTCTGGAGTTTGTGTCTGTCAGTCCTACTCTATCTGTGGCCGTGGCGTAGGCCACGATACGGGCTCTCCGTGGCCCGGGTGAACTGTCTGTTCCGGCCCAGCCCAGCCCGTGTCCGGGCGACGGGCCCACGGTGCCTGCCGGCTGGTAGCGCGCCGGGCCTAAGGAGCCGTCCGGACTCATGACACAGCTCGACCATGGATATTGAGAGGCCTGCCCTTTCCTCGAGCGCTGCTGAGCCAAGCCGTGTTGCCTTTCGCAGGTATGGTGGCGTTTCGCCCCCGGTATTAGCCTCTCGGTCCGCAGACGAGTGTTTCGACTGCAGCCGGAGCCGGCACACACGCTCGGGCTGCCGACTTGCGTGGACTTGACTCGGGTGCCGACGCGAAACGCGTTGTTGGTCGCGGCGATCGATGCGTGGTCGTCGGCGAACGGTCGCGAAACCGGGGGCTCGGTGCGGCGCGCGTGACCCGCCGTCCCCCGGGAACTACCGCTTCGGCCGAGTCCCTTTGAAGCGGCGACGTGGCGTGCCGCGCCGGCAGCGGCAGAAGTGGCGGCCCGGCGCACCCCATGCCATGCGCGCAGTGCGACCTCATCAAGTGTTGACGGCGGAAGTGGGACGCTTCCGGCGGTGTCTAACGATGCGCGCGCTCCGACAGGTCCAACACGGTCTCGATGGCGGAGGTGCCGGAGGTGACCGGCTCCGTGGCGCCGCCGCCCGTCAGCCGCATCATCAAGGAGGGCTGGCTGTACAAGCGAGGTCAGTGGCGCTCGCGTCCGGCGCCGGGTGCGGCTCGCGCTCCCGGCGCGGGCCTGCGGCGCGGGGACACGCTCCCTGTGTCCCCGTGCTGGGATCGGGGTCCTCCTCGGGCCGTCGGGGACGCCACGGGACCGGCGGCTGCGGAGGGACGGGGCGGGTTGTATGTGTGGTCGTGCGGAAAGGCCGGGTCTGCCCATGCCGGTCCGGCACTGCCGACGACTTGTTTGCTGTGGGTACGCCCCCTCCCCCTCCCCCCCGCTCCCCCTCCCCCCGCTCCCCCTCCCCCCTCCCTTGCTCCCCCGGGGGGAGGGCGGGGTCGATCGGCAGTCAGCAGGTGCAGCGGGTGGGGAGCGTAGCCCCAAACACGCCCCGTGTGGAAAGGTCAGGTCAAAATGCTGACACGTCCGGCGGCAGGCGCGTCGCCGGTGGTCGATGAGCGTGCTGCGCCGGTGGCGTGGGTGACCCTGGCCCAGGGCTGGTCGACTGCGGCGCTGAATCAACGTCCTGCTCTTACCAAACCATTGTTCTTGCTCGCATCGTATTAGTAAGACCGGTCCCACTGCGTCAGTAACACTTACCATGCTACACCAGTATCCCCGGCCTGATATTTTTAATACCTACCTTCTTCGCAGGCAATAGCAGTGATTTATTGGCTAATTTGTCATAGCCCTGTCCCATAACGTAAGACAATGCTGAAAATTGCGTGCAAATGTACGTGAGCAGCGATCGCACGTAGTTGCACAGACTTCATTTGAACAGACGTGCTCCTCCATTAGTTCCCGCCGTCGCAGTGATATCCGGGGATAGGGCTCAGCCTTGCGTGTGCTCAGCACGGGCAGCGAGGGCGGCGGCTGGCCGCTGCTCGGTCCGCCGCGGCCGGCGATGCGCCTGAGGCTCCTCATCGCGCCGGCCCGCTCGCGCCGCGCCTCGGTCGGACCGCAGCCGCGCCCGGCATATTGCCCTGCGGTGCCGTTCGGTACGCGTTGAGGGTACGCCCGTGGTGTGCTGGGCTCCCTCATCTCGCTCCATCGGCGCCCGTCGCCCGTTGGCCGTGGGATGCCGTGGGTGTTCGGTTCGGCACGGCTCGACTCGACGCGGACGCGGCGGTACCAGTCGGTGACTTGGCTATGGACCTGTGTGTGGAGGGGAGGGGGGCGGAACTTTGGTAGCAAGGCGCCGCACGTGCATGGAACAAACACGTCAGTTTTTTTTTCTTGGTGAGGCGCAAAGCTGCAATCGCGATGGGAAGGCTGTTTATGTTTTATTTTACCTTAGGCAAAAAGTCTGTCTACCGACTTTTGGTCCTGTGGGTTCGAGTCGCTTTAGTCGCTCGCTATTTACGCCTCCCAGGGATGGCCTGCGGCCGGTGGCAGCGACCGCGCTAGAGGTCACGTGACGTCGGAGGCCAGGACAGACCGGGCCTAGCGTTGTGGCACGTTAAGCTTTCGCCGGCCAAATTCAACTGTTGAATCGAAATTGCATGGTGTGATGTTGGTGCAGGGCTCACGCAACAAGCACTGCTTAACGTGGGCTCTGGTCCTGGAAATTCATCACTCAAAAGATTGGGACCATATCCTTAAAAGATATACTAGTAAGAGTACTCATCTCGACATTGTTCGCTTCGTAATTCATCAGCGTCCGGCGTCCCGTTCGAACGGTTCACATCTTGTTGGAATCGGCGTGTTCTGTGACGATTGACGCTGGATCCGGTGTCATATGAAAACTACCGGTGGCAGAAATAGGGCCGGACGTCCTGCGTAGTGCGACTGAGTGCAGCATTCCGTCCAGTGGTGAGACAATTCCGCCAGTGGTTTGCCCTTCGACCCAGTTCAGTGATAACGCCGTGGTCTGCTTTAGTTGTGTCACAAACCGGCATGTTTGGATTCGAGGGAGCTGCGCCGCCCTCGAAAACGCTTCCTGAACGCAGGCTTCGTAGCCCGATGCGGCGTCAAATCCGGACGAACTGCTGCTCTTCGTGCTTCAACGCACACGAATCGGTACTGTGAGTGGCACGCGGCGCACTCGCAGGCGTGCGGCGCGCGGGCGCACCGCCAGCGGCGCGGCTGCGATCGCACCCCGGACCATCGCCGCACGTGGATGGCCGCGGACGAGCAGCCGCACTGCCCTCCAGGCGGCGGCCGTTCGGGCCGGTCATCCGACCACGGCCGCGTTCCGTACCCGCCTGGTCCAGTCCCGCCGGGGGCAGGGGCGCTCCGGAGCGTCGACGGGGCGCCCTGGAGCCCCGCGCGCGGCGAGCGCCCGGGCGGCCGGCGCGCTCCGGTCAGCTGAAACAGTACCCAGCACGGCGGCTCGGGCGGGCTTGAGCCCCGGGCGTGAGTGCGGAAGACTGCTCCACGTCGAGTGCAGTGTCACCGCCGTAACGTGTCACATGTGGCACCTTTTCCGGGTCAGGGGCGTAAGACATGCTGAACAAATGTTCAGCTGGTGGAGCCCTCGACCAACGACTCCTTCGATGTCGTGCACAAGGAGGGAGGCCTACGCCTACGGTTTCTTCGGTGCACTGTGCGCGGCAGCAGCCGTAGGCCGTACGGCCGGCGCACGGTTCACAGTTCACGGTCAGTTCACAGCGCGGCTCCTTCCGTGGAATGTCAGCTCGCGGTGGCGGGACTGTGTCGCCAGCAGTGGCCGGCGATGAACTATTCAGAAGCGTTTAGACCTGTTGGATGATCAGTGTGTTTACGTGAATGCGTGCCATGGAACGTCTTGCCCCTCTGGCGACGGGCTGTTTGGAATACCAGTACGTGTCGCACTCGTGCACATTACAGCCTACATTGTTTATACTTGCCATGTTATGTTCACACATTTTTAAGCTGGGTGCGTTTGTGGACGCCGCAGATGCTGAAAGGGAGATGCAGTTCACAGTTCACAGGCTATACGATAGCCGTCGACGTGATCGATGTTGGTCAAAATGGCCATGCGCTTCGGAGATCCTTATCCTACAGAGGCTCGGTATTCAAAACCGTCTGGGCTGGCGTTTCGGTTCGGTAGGACGCTCTTCGCGCGATGCGGTTTCCTCGTGCATCTGTTTTATCCGAAAATAACCAAATATGCCTGAAAAGAGGCGCGAGCGATGCGCACTGCAGACGTGTTTCAAGCCGTTGCTGTGATCCCGAGGTTTTCCCAGAGCTCCATGTCGTGCTGGACCTTTCCTGCGGTTCCGCGAGCTGCTCGGTGGCCCGGGGGGCGGGGGCTGCCAGTTCGCCCTCCTATCGTCGCCACCTCCACCCGTCCACGCCGCCCGACCGCGCCGCTCGCAGACCGCACCGCGCCGTCGCGCCTGACCTCGCGACCCCGCGCCCGCGCGCCTCCCGTGGGCCCTGCTCGGGCCTGGGGATGACTTCCGGCCAGCCGGCCCGGGCGGGCCGTCCGCCGCCGCCGCCGCCGCCGCCGCCGCCCGGCTCGTAGGGCCGCCCTCTCGCCGTCGCCACGAGCACAGCAGCCGCGGGGATGCGCGGTCTCGTCGGCGCCGTGCCGCCGCCGCCGCGAGCACAGCAGCCGTGGGGATGCACGGTCTCGTCGGCGCCGTGCCGCCGTCGCCGCGAGCACAGCAGCAGCGGGGGTGCGCGGTCTCGTCGGCGCCCACGCCGCCGTCGCCGCGAGCACAGCAGCCGCGGGGATGCACGGTCGCGTCGGCGCCGTGCCTCCGCAAAGTCGCCGACGTCGAGCCGGCGCGGCGGCGGCGACGAACGCCCGCCCGGCTGTCGCGCGGCTGTTTGTGTGCTGTTTTTGCGCTCAAGGTCGGCCGTGTTTTTGTGCGCAAGGTTAGTGGCACGTTACGATGTTGTGGCGGACTCGGTATGTACGCGGGAGGGGCGCGTGACGTCACTCAAGGGCGGGACTCGCACGTGGGCGCCGGCTAGACGCTGTGCGGCAGGCTTGCAGTATGGGGAGCAAGGTCTCGTGCCGCGGCAACGTCAGACAGTACCAAATCGGTACTGGCGGTACCGTAGGAAGCCGGGGCAGTGGATGAGACCGGGATGATGTCATTCACTAAATGCATGGCATCGGCACTCATTAAATGCATTCAAATGCAGCGCCAGCGTGGCAGCCATCCAGCCCGCTCCAGACCGGTACCCATGCGCCTTGAATGGTGCCGGTACAGGTGCCGCTGCCAGGTGTTCGTGCAAACCGCGAGTCCCACGCGCTGTCCTTCGTGGGTTTCCGCGCGCGGTCGGCCGCTCAGCTGGCTTCCGGCGGCGGCGGCCGGCGCCGGTGCGCCCGCGGCGGCCGCGGGGCGCTGAACCGGGCACCAGTGCCAGCGTCATGCGGCGTCACGCGCCTCTGTCCAGACGCCGGTCGCCAGCGGGGACAGACAGCCGGCCGGGGGGGGGGGGGGGGGGGCTGCGTTTCGTCGGCGGGCGACTGTGCGTGCACCGGCTAAATATCCGGGCGGCGGGGCGGTGGGGCGCCGGCCGACGGCGCCCGACACCGGCGGTGTCCCGTGCGGCCGCCGCCGCCGCCCGCCAGGCGCCACGGGAGACCGAACGCTGACCTTTCGCGCCGGCGGCGGCGGCTCGCGTTCGGCCGGCCGCCGGCACGGACCGGGCTGTTTTCGGGTCGTGCCCGCGAATAACAACTGTCTCGCCCGTCTGGCCGAGGCGGCCGTGTTGTGAGCGCCGGGACAACAATCGTGGGCCTCTCGTGACGTGGCCCCTCGGCGCCGTGCACCCGGTCTGGCCCCCTCGAGCTGGCGGGCGGAGGGAGGGAGCTTCCGGGGCGCTCCAGGGGTACCGCCAGCCGGCTCGCCGTTCGTGACTGGACGCCGTTAGGGAGCGGCTGGCCGGTCGGGTGGCTCCATGCATGGTATTACCCATGTCCCACGGGCCCCGGATGCTGCCTCGATCATCGCTGTGATTGATCCATGTTTCTGTTTATTCTGGGTATTTGGTCCACTCTTGATTCATGCTGTTTAATCCTGGTATTTGATCCAGTCTTGATTTATGCTGTTTAATCCTGGTATTTGATCCAGTCTTGATCCGTGCCGTCTCTTGCTGACCCCAGTTCCCACCTCACCCTCTTGAACCCTGGTCTCTCCCCTCCCCAATCCCCGTGTAGAGCCAGATGTCCCGCCGTTCCAGTCCCTGCCCTAATGCAGACCTCGCCAGTGCCGACCCGCCAGTCATGAGTGTCCCCGTCTAACCGCACCCCAACCCCTGCCCTGGCCCAGTTGCGGCCCGGCCCCAATCTGTGCCCCACCCCAGGTCCAGCTCCTGATCCGACCCCTGCCCGATCATCAGCCCCAACCCGTGCGCGCTCCAGCTCCTGCCCCGGCGGCGACCCCGGCTCGCTGCAGCAGCTGCCAGTATTGACCGACAGACGCCCTGGCCGCGGTGCCTGGATTCACGACGCCCACTGTGCCCCAGGCGAACACATAAAAACCTGGCGGCCACGCTACTTCACCCTGTTCGACGACGGCAAGCTGCTCGGCTTCAAGATGGCGCCGAACGCCGGCGACTTTAGCTCGCCGCTCAACGACTTCAACGTGCGCGACAGCCAGGTACGCATGCGGCCGGGCCTCTCACGCCATCTGCCGCACGCGGCCGGGCGCCTCACGCCATCTGCCGCACGCGGCCGGGCGCCTCGCGCCATCGGCGGCGCATTACCGGCTTTGTCGCCGGCTTTGTGGGGTCTCCGTAGATCTTGTAGATCTGTCATATTCACTTTGTTTTTGTTATCCGTCGTGGTCGGATTTCCAAATAGTACTTCAGATCATCATTGGCGTGTGGTTGTTGTATCCCTCAGGTCGGTTCCTTCTCTGCTCACCTCAGTCCTGCATCCTCCCAGTCGACGCCGTTCCTTCTCGCGCCTCGTCCTGCTCCGTACGGCGTCTCCGCGCCGGCCGCACGCGCGCACCACAGGTGTGTCGCGCCACGCCGCGCCGGTGCGTCGCGGTGTCGCGGTGCGTCGCGTCCCCCAGCGCGCGGTGACGTCACCCGCCACTGCGTCACGGTGACGCAGCGGTTGCCGCCGCGCGGGCCGCGACGCGCGGGCGTCCTACCCCACGCCGGTGCGCGGCGGCCGGCCGGGCAATTATGCGGAATGAGCTCATTAACCGGCTCCGCCCCGACGAATGGGGTGCCTCTGCGCTGGACACAGCGCCCAGCGCTGTGCGGGGTGTCGCCGGTGACAGGTGTCCGGCGGCCGCCCAGCGCGAGCTGTTGGTAATGAGCCGGCGCCGCGCGTCGCACGTCTCCCACCAAGCGCGCGCGCTGTGCAGCGGGCGAATGTGGGACTGGTGTTCGATATGCCTGAGGTGGTCGGCGTTGAAAAAACCGGCCTGAACCTGCTTAGACGGTAGCCTTCCGGTGTTACCCCTTCTGTACGTGGAGGGCGGCGGCCGCGGGAGCTGCTGTTAACAGGAGCGTCTATATGGGGACCTGATCCCACGGAGTACTCGGTCTTAAATCAGCCTCCGTTGTTCGGTGCCTTCATATGGCCTAGTGTAGATGCCGCTGTGTGGCAGTTAATTGAGTCACCAAAGCCGGCCATTGTGAGGTATCACAGAAAGTGGATGAAGCCCTACGCATCTGTGTTAACTTGGAGCTTTACTTTTGTGTGGTTAAAATGTCATTGAGTGCCGATTATTGTGCCCCGGGCTGTATCGATTGCACCAACGACATTGTGCTCCCAGCAGTGACGAAAGTCGTTTAGGTACAGTATTTGCTCCCGTATTTGCAAACGTCGAGGCGAGATGGTTGGATCAGTTTCTGTTGAGTGAATTCCGTATGCTTGCTTCGAACGGACAACGTTGGTAAAGGTTTGAATTCAGTAAAGCTCGTTCTGAACGTGACGCAGCCCTTCTGGGGGCCTCCATTCCGGGCAAATATCGCTGCTGACATTGTGTTTAGCGCTGCGCAGGGTCCACAGTGCGCCCATCTAAGGGAAACACCAACCCGTCTGTTGTATTCTGTGCTCACGTCACAGCGGACTTTAAATGCGCGCCTGTCAGACGTCGTGAAGCCAATTACGTATGGAACCACCGGACTATCGTGCAAACATCTATATGCATGTGTATTAAGATGCAAACTAGAAGCTCTGTCACTCTCGAATGTTTGCCACACTGACGTTCACTTCTATTTCCCCACCTAGATTTGCAGAGTGGAGAGGTAGCCGGAGGTTGACAGCATGTCGTGAGTGGCCATCCGTGAGAGGGTGGTTCACTCCACGAACCCGACCTGACCTGACCTGACCTGACCCGACCTGACCTGACCTGACCTGCCGACCAGGTGATGGTGTCGGACCGGCCAAAGCCGCACGCCTTCAGCATCCGCGGCCTGCAGTTCATGTCTGTGATCGAGAGGAACTTCCATGTCCAATCGGACAAGGAGAGGTACGGCTTCGCCCGCGGTGGGTCTGGAGGCGGGCTGACCTGTCCCGTCGCCCCGGGCGGGCGGCTCGCCCCCACGGTCGTGCTGGGACCCCAGCGGGGTGCTCCGTTGTGTCAGGTCGTGAACGGCTGCTGATATGTCAGGGACGATGACAGACGAATGTGGTCGTTGGCGATCGCCACGGTCGCCGGGGCCGGTGTCTATCATTGCGCCTCGTCTCGCTGCTGTGTTTGGCGGAGCCCGCCGCTGCTCTGGCCGATGTCCTGTGCTGGGGGATGTTTTCCAATTAGCTGCTGGGAGAAGCACGGACAAGAGGACGCCGTCAGTCCAAATGTGATTCTTGCTGTCCTGGTAGTGCGTATTGATTTGTTATTTACGTCATAGGAGCGCCCCTGCGTTTGGTCGAAACCAACTGGCCCGGAGTCATCAATATGAGTAGCCTTTATTAACCCCCCAGTGGCTTGATCTGACGCGTCGTCCACCCATCGCGCCCCTCAGCAGCGCTCGATCCGCCAGTGACCCGTGAGTGACCATCCCCGACCCGCCAGTGACCCGTGGAGTGACCATCCCCGACCCGCCAGTGACCCGTCGGTGACCCGTCCTGGTCCATGGATGGTCGCGCTGGCCTACCTGTGACCGGTCAGTGACCCGTCGGTGACCCGGCAGGGATGAGTGGACCCAGGCCATCTCGTACGTGATCAACAAGCTGGCGGAGGAGGACCGGGGCGCGGCTGACGTCGAGATGGGCCGGTTGGCCGAGGAGGACGACTTCTCGGCAAAGTTCATGGCCATGTCCACCACGCAGAGCAAACACTCAGGCAAAAAGAAAGTGGTACGTGCCAGGGCGACCAGCGCGGACTGCGCGAAAGAGGCCGCGACGGCTGGGCGGGCTGGGGTTTTAAGTGTTTCAGTGTTTCATTGTTTCATGGTTTGTTGTTTTTTTGTTTGTTTGTTTCACTGTTTTTTATGTAATTGTTTCACCACAATGGTGGTGACGATGAGTGAGGGGATGGGAAGTCTGGTGATCAGAAAGTGATCTGGCCGGTGAAGTGTGGATCAGCACGTGCACATGTGGATCAAGCCGTCAAAAACAAGCACGTGTGGATCTGAAGGTGGAAAAGCTACGTATGGATATGGTAAATTTGGGCGTTATCTGCTTGACAATGCCAGTTTTAGCATCTGCTTACCCTCGCCGTTGTTTTACGCTGCGTGGGCCTTATTTCCGGTTGGGTGCTCGCTGTTCCCAGCTTGAGTGCGATTGCTTGGGATAAGCAGGAACGCAAATCACCCTTCCGTTCTGGTGGAATACAGTACTGCTACGGGGGTCATCTCGCTAGCAGCTTGTCAAGCATTGAATGTATTTGGACCGTTATCTATACCAGGGTGCAAGTGTCCGGGTGCGCATGTTCCGAGGCAAAATCATAACCTCCCCGAACATAACCTATCGCGAGTCGTCTGGTCTCCGATGATGACCAGTTGATATATGTTTCACGCATATTTTGCCGACTTCTCTTCATCCATTGACTCCGGACGTTTCGCAGTTGTCAAGCAGCGCACCGCCGCATGAACGTACGCCCAGTGGTTTACGATTCGGAGCGTAGGCATCAGGCGACTGGTGCTTAGACAGCAGTGCCATACGCTGCGTCCCAACCATTTCCCGCGTATTTGCACGGCAACGACTCCGCTCATGGCGACCAAATCGACTTTCTTCTGGAATGAGCAAACAATTATTCTCGGATGTGATAAGCATTGACGATTGATAGCCAGGCAGCGGACGATATAAGACGGGCTTGTAGAACGAGCTCTGTTGATGGTGAGCAGCTCTGCTGCAGCCAACTGTTCCGTGCGCCATGTCTGCACGTTTGTTTTTGCCCCCAAACTCCTGAGAGCGCACCTGTGCAGGGGCAGCAAAGCGGAAGAGTCAGTTCAGATGACGTTCGTGGGAACGGTGCAGCCCTCTCATGACGTGCCGTCCGCTAAACTTGAGGAGGATCGCATGGCTGAATATAGCTTGCCGAGCCTGCAGCGCATCGCGTAACGCTGCGCGGGCTGTGTGTCGCCGCCACGGACGCGTCCGCGCAATGCAGGCTGGGGGCGTCTCACCGCCGTTGGCCTCTGATTGCAGACTCTCGACAACTTTGAGTTTCTCAAGGTGCTCGGCAAGGGGACGTTCGGCAAGGTGATTCTGTGTCGAGAGAAGTGCACGGGCCACCTGTACGCCATCAAAGTGCTCAGGAAGGACGTGATCATCGCCAAGGACGAGGTCACGCACACGCAGACGGAGAAACCGAGTGCTGCAGCGCACAAGCCACCCCTTCCTCACGGTGAGCTGACGGACGGGAGAGGCGCGCCTCGCTTCGCCTCGCCTCGCCTCGCCTCGCCTCGCCTCGCCTTGCCTCGCCCCCTCGCCATCTCGCCTCGCCTCGCCTCGTCTCGCCTCGTCTCGCTCTCGCCTCGCCTCGCTAGCCCGCCCCGCCCACCCCACCCCGCCCCGCCCCGCCCCGCCCCCGCCCCCCGCCCCGTCTCGTCTCGTCTCTCGGTCTCGTCTCGTCTCGTCTCGTCGTCTCGTCTCGTGTCGCCCCGCTTCGCCTGGCCTCGCCTCGCCAGGGCCGCCGCTGTGGCCGCTGAGGAGGCTAGCTCGGCGGCCGGCTGGACTAAGCTCCGGCAAGCGGCGGCCGGCGGCTGTGCGCTGTCCTCTGAGCGACTGGCGCGGCTGTGCGCTGTTCTCTGAGCGGCTGGCGGCGGCTGTGCGCTGTTCTCTGAGCGGCTGGCGGCGGCTGTGCGCTGTCCTCTGAGCGACTGGCGGCGGCTGTGCGCTGTTCTCTGAGCGACTGGCGGCGGCTGTGCGCTGTTCTCTGAGCGGCTGGCGGCGGCTGTGCGCTGTCTCTGAGCGACTGGCGGCGGCTGTGCCCGGGCCTCAGCGGCATGTGCGACGGCCGAGGAGCGTCGGAGATCCCGCACGGCTCGTGCGCAGAGGCCCCCAGACTGAGCCTCGTCCGTATCGGATGCCCGAGCCAAGCTCCGATGGCTTTATCATCAAAATACGACGCAGGAGGCCCCCAAGCAGAAAATGACGTCAGACATAGCGTAACTTCGGGCTGCTGCACCGTAACATCCCAAATCATGCGCGCTGTACGAATACATAGTTCCTAGATCGAGTCCGTTCATACCAGAGACTCCCAAATCTGAGCCGATCGCTGCTTACCAGGAATGCGAAGGACCGTGGGACCCAGGTAGCGTAGAAGTGAAGGATGTGCACAAGTTTCGGTGCTGGTCGTGAGGTTCTCAAATTGGGGTATGCGTATAGTCGTGCGGCGCGACGCGCACGCCGCTCCCAGTTTGAGAACCACAAGGCTTGCTCTGTAGCTTACGCACTACCTGACCACGTGTTTGGGTCCAGCGAGGTTCAGCAGGTCGGGCTGTGTCATCTGGCCGTCTCGTCGGCAAAGGCGAGCGAAGCATGCTCGCTCGTCGTCACGAGCCGGTGCCGACGC